CAATGGACTTGGTCACATGCTTTTCGCCACCATTTGTCATTCCACGCTACGCGAAATATATATTACTTACATATAAATATATATTATATATATACAGATATCTGTTTGCGCCAGTTCTCAGTACTTTTTAGAGATCAAATCTCGAAACCTCAACGAATCAAACAAGCTTTTGCAATGGGTGGTGTCATTGTTTAACTTCTACATCTCAAAGCTTTTTCAGCTAACGATTCCTCGCTATTGGCGTCCGCCAATGACATCGATGCCTTTTGTTTGAAGTTAAACGACCCCGGACAGCGACGGGATGCCTCTAATGTCGCCTGCGTACCGCCTGCATAACTTGAACTCAGTGCTTATCTCGCCTCGTGAATGCCATTTTATTCAACTCGATTCGTAACGCGTAATAATTAAAAAAAAATATATAAAAAAATACAAAAATAAATTAATTAAAATTAATAGAGTAAAAAACATATATTATATTGATATAAAATTTAATTTAAAACGAGTAAGAAAGTCTAAGTTCGGGCGGAGCCGAACATTAAATACCCGGCGCACAACCTACCTTGGATTAAGGGAAACCTACATACCAAATTTCGTTGAGATATCTCAATTTTTGCTCGAGTTATCGTGTACACGGACAGACGGACAGACGGACAGACGGACAGACGGACGGACAGACAGACATGGCTTAATCGATTTCTTTTTTCATCCTGATCATTTATGTATACATTTGTCTATATCTATCTCGATTCGTTTTGGCTGTTACAAACAACCGTTATGTGAACAAAATTAATATACCCTTGTGCACAAGTGCGCTCGGGTATAAATATTAAACCTTTTTTTAAATAATTAAAATTTAAAATAAGATGTTTACAGCTCTTGTTTAAACTGTTCCTGTGGATTTTCTTCAATTTCTGGTTATGGTAAACCTGGAATTTTAAGGATAATTTGATTCTCCTTGCCATTCTGGACTTTCAAGTTCTCAAAGCTACAAAAAAACACGAACGTTGTGATTTAACACCGCATTAAGTCCACAAACTCTGGGCTCGAACCGTAACATCCGTTCACGGACCGAAAACCACACGAAAGAAAATTACGTGATACTTCAGTCGTATAAGATGGATTGCCGCCCCCCCCTCCCCTCCCCCCACTGCAACCCGTTTTATGTTTTTTTTTTTTTTGTTTTAAAGTATGAAGCATTTTTGTGAAAAAAAAAAATCCGGAAAAATTAAAATTTTGCACTTACTGTGAAAAATTCTCAGTGCCAATTCTTTTTTCGGTGTATGTATGTATATGTATATGTAACTAAATCCTTTGTATGTAAAATATGTTTGCATTTATTCATTTTCAACTTAAAATAGTAAGTATATTTATAATATATGTATATTAAAAATAAAAAATAATACAAATATAGTGCGATTCAGATAAAGAAAATTATAGGAAATTAAATACATACATATATAATTTATTTACATCTTTTTTGGAAGTCAGATGGTATGGAATGCTTAACTTTCATATCTACAAATGAGTTTGAGATCTTGTTTGGCCATGTTCATAACCAAAAGTAGATATGATTATAATTTATTTAATGCAAGGCCGTGGCCCACCATACATATGTATATCCTCTTTGGAAAATTTACTCATGATGTGTGTATGTATTTATACATGCGATTATGAATTCATGCATATTTAGTTAATAAGTATAATAAATAATATTGCATAAAATATATTTTAGTTAATGAGACAAACATATTTAATGTGTAAATAAACTAGCATTAGTATGTGAGCAATTGTAAAATGACCAGTTGCCGCTTTAAGCTGCCAAGGAAACTTTTTGTCTGGCATTTGTAGTCTTTTTTCCGTTTTTGTGATACCGATGTTGTGATTGATGTAGATGTATTCGTGATCATCTATATCGCAACTATTCTGAAGGCGTTAGATCTTTCTCTGGTTCGTTTTCATTTAAAATTTGTGAAAGTAAATCGTGAACCGGTTCAAAAGCCTTTTTCGCGCCGCTATTCGTCAAATTTTTATAGTCGAACATATCGTGATGACTAATAGTATTGTCTGCTTGTAACAGACCTTTGCCGATGCAAACTGTTTGCACCTGATTGAGACCAATCACTTTCTCCTTTACAATTCGATTCACCTCGGCATTTTTTTCTCTCAGCTTGTTCGGAAGATGGCCGCGAGGTAGTAAGGTCTATAATTTTAAGTAAATTCGGAAAGAATGAGAAGATATCATTAAATGGTGTAGTAATTTATATTTATGTTGAAACTAACCGGTAACACGATATACGTTCCTGGCAACTTCGCTCGTATTCTATGCACTATTTCTACAATGCCTTCTGCTATCTGCTCAGCACTATTTTCTATATTATTTGTTCCCACGTGCAATACAACAATCTGATATATAATTAGAAATATGTGGTAAGCATATTGGATATACATATATATAAAGCTCCAATAATAAAACAGGTAGATAGATATCCCTACATTTATAGTAGTGAAACCAACCTTCGGTTTAACATTGTCCAATTCGCCATTTTCCACGCGCCACAGCACATTTTCTGTTCGATCGCCGCGAATGCTAAAGTTAAGGCAATGCATCGGTGCAAAATATTGATTCCAAGTTTCCGAATCCTGCAGAGTTTCTAACACACAATCTCCCAAAAATATAACGTCGGGATCTTTCTCTCGGCATTCGGAAATGAAACGCCGATGAATGCTAAAAAAAAAATATTTTTTTTAGAAAACGAAGCATTTTTGGTATGCTTCTGCTGGAATTTATTTAAATTTGGAGCTAATTAACATACCAAATCCAGCGTTCGTCGCCATCTAAATCCGGGCGTGGGGTGGCTACAACACAAGGGTTCATAATCTTTTTTTTTTTACGAAAAAATACACACTACTTTTAAATATTAAAACTATCAAAGAACGCTTTGAAATTTATTGCAAAGAGCTTTCTTATAGAAAATTTCCGGTCTTTTATTTTCCAATCAATTCATAAAAAAGAAATTTCCGCAAACCAGACTGACGTTTACACAATTCTTCTTCGTTTATTAACAACCATTCACAATGAAGTAGGGATGTCGGAAAAACATCGATGCATCGAAAATATCGATGTTTTGCTTCGATTCATCGAAAATTTTCCACTGGATGTGTAAATACGAAGTTTTTTTCAAAATTGACATCTACGGTACATTGAACCGTCATTCCAGTTTTTATAATTGTTCAAAAAAAGAAGTGAATTTGGCCAAAAAATTTAAATGTCTGCAAGAAGTTCCGTTAGACACACAATTAGCTCAGTGCAGTAATTTATTTCAAATTTTCTACAATTTTGCTAATAACATATTTTGTTGTGAAACATTATCTGAAAAATCCTATGCAAATCGATGCATCGATGTATGCCCTTCGATGCATCGAAAAATATCGATGTACATTTCGATGAATCGAATCAAACAAAAACATCGATGTATTTTTGCCACTGACATCCCTACAATGAAGATTTTTGGGTGTATCTAATTAAATGTTTACGGTATGGTATTGACGGTACCAGCAGAGAACGTACCACGCAATTTTCTTTCGTATGGTTTTCGATCCGTGAACGGATGTTACGATTCGAGCCCTGGTTTGACCCGTGCGAACAAGTGTGAGTGGGCTTTAAAGATCCCCGCTTGTGAAAAAAAACTTAATAGCAGAAATTGCTTCCATAAAAATCGTTATAGCCAGAAATAGTATACTCAGATACATGCGCCTTTTAGAAAGCTCCTATAGTTGATGTCCAGTCTGCTTTAAAATCATGGGCAACAACCGCATTTTTAAGTATAAACATGCAATATTTCTTTAATAAATATATTTTAGTTCAAATTAGTGTAACTACTTCATAGCCCATGAACTGAGGTATGTGTATGTTCTAATATAATTAACCCGATTGGACCCATTTATTGCAAATTAAGAAAGCTTTGCCTTCAAATTAAAAAAGTCATCAGTTGCTGCTCTGCGATTTGATATACGAAAAAAATGCTCCAAGCCGATTATCCGTACAGGACTCCGCTTCCATTGCTGGCTCTCCAAGACTATCGCCAGCATCTTGATACGTATCATAATCACTCGGCTCCAACTTGCCATGCAACTCATCTTCGGTATGTGACTGCTTATGTGCGCCGAGATCTTCAATTGAAAAGAAACCACGACCACAAGCATTACAGAGATGGGGCTTATCACCTTGATGTCGCCTTTCATGATTTATTAGATTTTTTCTCGTGATAAATCTTGCAGAGCAGAACGAACATATATGTTTGCGCAAAGTTTTGTCATGGTTCTTCATATGCGATTTTAGTCCTTCCACCTGCGCAAAACGTTTGTCGCATACCTCGCAATTGAAGGGACGTTCGCCGGTGTGCAAGCGTTCATGCGAGATCTGCGAATTGCGTGTGGAAAAACGTTTCTGGCAGTAACTGCACGGAAATCGACGTTGGCCCTCGTGCACAACTCGTACATGTCGGGATATTGCATTCTTGTGACTAAATTCCTGTGGACAAATGCTACACTTGAATTTCTCTAAATTAGATTGGTGTGTGCGCATGTGAATTTGCAATTCTGTACTTGTAACTTTTCCTACGCCACATTCTGTGCATATATGATTCTTGATTTGAGCATGCCGTTTCAGATGTTCGGACAAAGCGCGCTTTGAACTATACTGCTTGAAGCACTGTTGACAGATTATATCGCTATTGAATTGCAGTCCACTCCGGAACGAGGCTAAAATATAGAAACGTTAGTTATAACAGTGATTTGACTATATAAAAAAGCAAACCAAAATCTCTTACTTGTGTCATTCATTTGCGAGGTATTACTAAACTTAAAAACTGCATCATACATATGATGCGATTGAATATGCGTATGCAGTTGATCGTAGCGGGTGTAGGCTTTTTGGCATTCCAAACAAAGAAATGGTTTTTCGTGTCCTTCATGTACTCCGCGAATGTGGGCGTCCAGGTAAACCTGTTTATACACGTATTTATCACAGCGTGGGCATTTCAAAGATTTTTTGTTGCGGTCGCGTATTTTACGAGAGCTAGAGTAGGTGCGATCCTCGTCATCAGCATCATCGCTAATCGAATTATAAGTTGTGTCTAATGCATTATTATCGTTAAATAGTGAGTTTTCTTTTTTCTCGTATTCCAAATCGATTTCGGTTTTGACGATCACATCAGTCGAATTTTCAGAAATATCGTTTGGCAGAATCATTTCAGAATGATTATCTGGCTTATTATAATCAAGAGGCTCTTTCTTAATTAGATTTTCTCTTAGAGGTGCAAGTTCAGGTAGGAGCTGAAAATTAACACATGGGACATAAATACATATACGTATGTATGTATAATTAAACGCGTTCTTATACTATGATATTGAGGAGTGCTATTTATTATACCAGCCGTTAAATATTATTTGCAATAATCTTTATATATACATATGTATATGGGGTAGCCACATCATAACAGAGGTTCAACTCGCTTCCGGAAGCAAGTTTAAGTGCTACAATTATACAGGCAGGTTTTGCAATTCACTTCCGAGTGAATTTCAATCTAACTCGCTTTGAATTCAGATTCCAAGTCTTGAAATTCACTCGGAAATGAATTGCAGAACCTGCCTGATAGATCCGGAAGGATATCATGCTTTTTGCGTTTTATCTGGCTTTTAATGACATATTAAAATTGAAAACAAAAGATTTAAGAAGTTCCAGATAATAGGGACTAATGCCGCGAATTCATCAAGTTTCGTTTTTCGTGAATTCTACAAAAATTCTTCAAGCTCTACTAGGCTATTACTGTCGCATGTGTTGTGAACGTGTGTGGTTCAAAGTAATTCGAATTCAGTGATGGTCATTTCGTAGACTTCAAGAAAAACGGATCAGATTTTTCTTACCAGTTGGTCGTCGTCATCATGTATGTTTTGGTAGCTTCTTTCGATATTAAACTTTTCTAGTATGCCTTCCTTGTCTTCATTGGGCTGAAGATGATATGCTTCATCTGGTGCTTTAGTCAATTCATCATCTAAACTGTTTACAATTTTATATAGGACTTCTGCCGAATTAATTGCCAAATGACGGAACTCTTGAAAATCAATCATCTTGTCATAGCACAGTTGACAGAGGCTCCGCGGATAAACATCCTCATTGTCCGTTTCCGAAAATTCTAAAGATGTAAATAGTACGAATAATTTTTGTAACTCTGGCAGCAAACTTAGATTATAACTATGTATGGAATCAGAATCAATGTCCTTGTCATAGTCGTTAGCATTCAGCAGCTCCAGACTAGTGGGCGACGACTCCCGCTCACGTCTGCGGCGCTTTTGCAAGCTTTTCAAGCAAGTGCGGCAAAATTCTTGTAAATTATTGCGCGATAGTTGATTCATGGTATCTTAAAATCTTATTTTTCGGTTTCACAATTTTTTTTTAATAATATCCTGGCAATATACAAAATTATTATCAAATTAATCGATTTTCGCCGATTTTCACCGAATGTATTTTTTTTGTGTCAAATTTGACATTGAAACGGTGCTGCCACATGCCTTCATTATTGCAGCAGCTGCCATATGGTAGATTTATTAGATTTATCTTTAACTGTCAAATTATCTATGCCGAAAGAAACCAGTCAACCAGCCAGACTCATTTCCGGCTATTTTGGTGTCATAAATTCCGAGATAAATAAATGAACAAAGTTCACGTAGAAGTGAAAGGAATTCTGAGACTTCTGACTCTAAAATGAGTCCGAATGTTTATAGGGTACCGTTACTTCTTTTTATATGTTGTGTAAAAATTTCATAGCTGTGTTGATTACCAATATTTCACAAGAACAAAACATGTATTAATTTTTACTATGGAAGTAAATCGTTACCTTAATTCACAAATACCCTAATCAACACTTTTTTCGAAACTGCGTTTTTCACAGATTTTTGTACGATGTATTGAAATACACCTGGAATAGAAATTTAAAGTGTTAGTACCAAAACAACGGAGTTGCATGCCACTTTTTAAAAAGACCCTCCTGTTCTTGGTACTACATGTTTTTATAAAGTTTTTTTGCTTCTCCTGTAAAATGAAAAATATTGTAGGTTAAGCTGCCTTTACACGGGTCGATTTCTGCCGACTGGAAAATCCACCAGTGAAAACACCTACATTTTACGGTTGCATTGCCATTTACTCAGCTCGATTTTGGTTGAACGACAAAAATCGACACGTCTTAAGGCAGCTTTAGGTATGTATGTAAATTTAAAACTTTAAACCCGTTTTTCTCGAGTTTCTCTGTTGAGTTACGACACTATTGAAGTAAATGAGCAATATGTAGTTTAACAAATATACAAGATATATACAGGCCGACTCTGATTAGAAACTCCCTGGGAGTTTTCTCTCCCTTTTCTTTTCTCTTTCCTCCTATTATGGATGAGTTGAGCTGTCAAAAAAGTGTCAATCACCTTTTTTGAAGTTCGAATTTCCTCCTCCCAAATTTTTGAGGTAACAAATTCCCGGAGAACAAACTCCCCGGGAGTATTAAGAATTGTGCTGATAATGAACATACATACTTATAAATTCGAAGCTTATTTCGTCTGATTACTCCTGTTAAAACCTGGGTTAGTTGTTACGAAACACCTTTTTCTGCCGACTAACAAGACACTTCTGCGGTGTGAATACCCCTTACCCATCACCATCAATGTACAAATTGCTATTCCTCAAATTTGAAGTTTTACATAAGCAAAAAAGTGTGTAATAGTGAAAAAATCTTTTAAAATTTATTTACACAAAATGCACTTATCTCTCGCTTTTTAAGATGTACCATTATACTATGCAATTGACTCCACCAAGTCCGTTTTACTATTAATTTTTGCATCAAACTTTATATTTCGGAATCCACAATGCCTTCCAGAATTGCTACTGGGGTTTCTTTGATTGGCTGTTTAATGGACTTTGTGGAATTTTCTCCGTTATGGCTTCTCATATGAGCGCGCAATGCCACTGACTGAATGAAACGTTTTCCACACATATCACAACCGTAAGGTTTTTCGCCGGTATGCCGCATTTCATGATGTTTCCAAGTGGCTTGTTTTCCGAAACTTCTATCACAATAGCTACACATGTAAGGCCGTAACCTTAGGTGGACAATGCGGTCATGCAAACGCAAATTCCCTGAATTGTTAAATACACTAGCACACTTCGAACAGGGCCATTGCCTCTCTTTCGTATGATAATTAATATGTGTATGTAATTCATTTTTTGTGGTTTTCCTCACGCCACAATGAGGGCATATGAAGTTTTTTATGCCAGCATGCCGCAATTGATGATCTCTAAAAGTTCTTCTGTTTTTATATCGTTTGCCACATTCGTCACATTTGTGTGGATACTGCTCCATGGGTAAATGCTTATAGCGATGTTCTATTAATTTTGAATTGGTTGGAAATGTCTTTCCGCAGTCCTCACAAACCAATGATTTTGGTTTACGATTCGCAATAGCCGGGTTGTGCTTGAGCCGATAGTGCATTTTGCAAGAGGCTTCTCGATTAAAAAATTTACCGCACCCTTCGACAGGGCAGATGAATGTCAGCTCAACAGGTCGTGGTCCGTGGACCTCGCGCACGTGACGGCGGAAATGGTTTCCGTTATTGAAGCTACGGCCACAATCCTTGCACAGAAATGGTTTGAGGCCTTGGTGGGTGCGCAAGTGAGCCTCTAAATTTTGCGAAGTAACACAACGTCGAGGACATTGTTCACACTGAAATTTGGCGGCGCCTCCACCAATGTTAATTTGGCTTTGTTTAACGGATTTGGCCTCAGAGAACTTCTTACTTTTTGTTGGCTTTTTCTTTTTATGGGAAGCTTTCCTTTTTATATTCTTGCCGCTCTTACTCCTTTCATTTGTCGACAATTTTGCAGATGTATCAGAATGGTCATCACTAAATTTTTCGCAGTTTGTGTTATATTCTTTATCCTGCGACTGTTCAGAAATAATTATGTCCGTTAGTCTACCTTCATCGGATTGCAGATCTGGGCTTTCTCGGCAAATTTCTAAATATTCTAATGAATCATAATAATTTCTGGAGTACGATCCAATCGATAAAAATTCCTTTGCATTTAGTTTTATATCGCTTATGTCGATCTCAACTTCAGTTTCAACTTCATCAAAATTTTCAGTTATATCTTTTTTGATAACCTTTGGGGATTCCGTAGGCTCTTCTGGAATTTGTAAGACCTGCGAATAGCGGAAATTATGTACCTACAATTAAAATCTTCAGGATAGTTTTAGTGGGATGCTTTAAAAGGCGATGCCTTCCATTACCGTGTTTTCTAAGTTGCTTTGAAGTTTTTTTCGGCTTCTGGTTGGGCTTATTACTTCACATAACTCGCTCATTTCAACACATGTATCTCTATTTTCCGGTTTAATTTCCCTTCCGCGATAACTTGCTTGGACAAGTGGATCCCGGTTGGATTCTTTCAGAATATGGGTCAAGATGAAAAGCGACTCGGCACTTTTACAGCAAAAATCGTAAAAACTTTGCAATTTTTCATAACAAGAATAGCATATAAATTCGGGCAATTCAACCTCATCCTCATAAGCCATTGCGGTACAGGCCATTAACAGTTTTTCAAGGTCCTCACTATCATGTAGGCTATACTTTTCACCCAATGGTGATGACTTCTCCCCTAATTCCTGGAGACATGTACGACATACGGAGTGGATATTCTCAATTATTATATCCTCCATTTTTGTCCACAATTTTTAACAAAAAAATTTTTTTTTAACAATTCGGGACTAGAGCTTGAAAACTATCGATGGCACTATCGGTAGTATTGATGCTTTTGACTATCGAAAACATCGATGGTTTTGTAATGACTATCGGTAGCTTTCACTCCATTATATACATTAGCCAGCGGCATACATATTTCAGAGCGCAGGTGCTGCTTGAGGCCAAAAATTGTTTATAAACTTTAATTCCTTAACAAAAATATCGACATATTTAAGCAATCCTGATCTCATTTTCAATAAAAGTTATGTTTAAGTTTTGGAATTTGTTCATCAAAACTATCGATAGTCTACCGATAGTGTCGACATTTTCGATAGTATCGATACTGTCAAGGGTTGTGACTATCGACTATGGCCACGACCATCGATAGTTCACCCGCTCTATTCGGGCCCTGTCACACGTTTAGTAATTATCCGAAATTTGTATCGCGATCCATATTGATGGATTGATGGATAGCGCATGAATGCTACATGTTCAATATATATCGCGTCAGTATTTGCGTAATTTTTGTGCTGAACGCTTATTATGACACAAAAAAATATTTTTATTTTATACGAATACATTCCACAATTATTTTCCAATGATAATTCAAATTTTTTTCAATTTGTTTTGAAAGGTTTTAAGCACCAATAGCGAAGGCATAGCGAAGGCATAGCGAATACGTTTTCCATGTTCGCATTATGAGAGTACAAGATGTACAGACGAAATGTATGGATCGCGTTTTTAAAGTCCTACACGTTTAATATTTATTGACGGTATTGTGATCCGCAATCCAGATTTAAAATTTTTTAGAAATTTTGCGATATGGATCACGATCTATCAATATTGTGCGCTACACCGTCAATAAATATCGCGATACTTGGATCACGTCAATAAATACTGACCGTGTGTCATGACCCTTCGCGACTACATAAAATTGCCGATGGAATAAAAAATATTTGTCAATGTTACTGTGGCTTGTCAACATCTCATTTTATAATATTTTTATTGAGCTTTGTACCACGATTGTTTATTAGGAAATTGAAGTCTAGAAAAAAGAAGTCTGATGAGGAGATGTGGTGATCTCCGAAATAGTGCTATAACTTCTACCGCTTAGACTTTGTTGCTTTTTCAATTTTTCCTAATAAACAATCGTGGTACAAAGCTCAATAAAAATATTAAGGAATAAAAAATAATTGTTTTTAGTAGGTTTCACACTGGGACATTTCTACCACGAGAACACTGTTTGATGGCAAGAGAGGCACTGCGGTGAGGTTACTTGCTGTCTCCACAGGCAAAAGTTTTTATCTTGATAATCAGGCAAAATTTTGCCCATGGAGATCGCATATTGCTCTTGGCAAGCAATAATTATCAGAGCCTTTAGCTTGATAAATATTGCCAGCAATTTGGTACTTTGACAGCTACGTTTTCATTTGCGGGATACCTTCGTGGAGACGACGTTATTGATATTTCAACATAAAAGCAAAAATTGAGCTGTTTTCTATTAATATTTGTTATTACTTGCTTGGGTGTGAAATAGCATATTTTTTTAATTTTTAAAGTGATGAAACCCGCAAAAGTGGCCTCTTACCGCAGAACTCNCGAGCTGTTTTCTATTAATATTTGTTATTACTTGCTTGGGTGTGAAATAGCATATTTTTTAAATTTTTAAAGTGATGAAACCCGCAAAAGTGGCCTCTTACCGCAGAACTCCACAGGCAAACACCGATGGCCTACCAACTGTCATTTTGACGACCAATATGATAGCAAGTTTTTGTGTGTGGCACTTTGATGTCTTGAAATAAGCATTTGCCACATGACGCCACCAGACAACATTCTCTCAATTTCGGTATTTAAAACATTTAAATCTTTTAAAAATTTGCTGAATAATTTCCTAAAACGTAATCATAAATAATCCAATAGGGAACATATTTTTATTTTTAAATAATATCAAAATTTCATTGGTGTTACCACCAGCACGCTATCTTTCAAATGAAAATATGGCTGTCAAACTATCAAATTGCCTGCAATAGATGTCAAGCAATAAGCGCTGACGGCTCGGAGAGGTCTTTTCCAATTCTGACGGAGCTGGTGGTATTGCTCAACGTCATTTTACACAGCCGTATGAGTTTTGAGGGGATGCCAAATTCAGACATAGCGGCGTATAGGCAACTCCTTTTAGTGCTGTCAAAAGCGGCTTTAAAGTCGACAAATAGGTGGTGAGTGTCGATCCTTTTCTCGCGGGTCTTTTCCAAGATTTGGCGTATTGTGAATACCTGGTCTATGGTGGATTTGCCAGGTCTAAAGCCACACTGATAAGGCCCAATCNCCCTTCTTTGCCCACCCTGGCATTGAAGTCGCCAAGCACGATTTTGATATCATGACGGGGGCAGCGCTCGTACGTGCGCTCCAAGCGCTCATAGAAGAGATCCTTGGATGCCTCATCCTTCTCT